CTTTTAAAACAATAATATATTAAAAATAATAATATATTAATCGTGCATAAAGTTTTGTATGAATTGCTGGCATAACTGGTTTTTATGGTCCTACGACGCTTTTCTAGCCCTCGCGCTAACGCGCTCGGGCTCGAAATAGCGCCTCGGACCATAAAAACCTTATTATGCCCTTAATACATAAATAACTATTAAATCCTCCACTTATGAACTGACTATGCGCATAGGGTAAAATAATACGGATAAAATGAAGATATGTGCTCTCTTAAAATTACTCAAAAATAACTAATTACACCGTACATCACAAAATTGCCCGCATCTATGAAAATCGGATAGAAGACGATAAAGAAAAAGACCCGTGTATCGGCGATTTTTTTGTACACGTCAAAATTTTTTTTTATTTGGTTTTGAAACACAAAATTTAGAGATAATTCGTAGAAAGTTTCCATCCTAAATAATAATGTTATATTTTTTTATTCAAGCTTACAAATGTTCTAAAAGGGCATTTTAAAGAACTCTTACATAATCATAAGGCTGTAACTACTTTATTATTACGTCCATAAAATTTTAATACTCTTAAGTAAAGTATTATTTAGTTTAATAAAAATATTTGATACAACTCAATTATTTTTAAAATTTTGGCCTTTTATTTTTTCTTTTTAGTAAATCTGTTGCCGTTTCACGACAAAGTGACAGTATTCACCGAGCATGCATGCATGTGCACCGAATTTTTACCTTTAAATCTAGTTCTTGGTGGAATCTTTCTCCATGTTCATCACTAATCACCCATATTATTTTGGAAAAAATCTAGATGATTATGCAAAAAATGAATTTTTAATGATATTAATATTGCCATACGCAGAGATTATTTTTTGCACAATTTCTTTATAATTTTCAGCTCGATGGTTGCCAAGAAAGTTTTCAAAGACATTAACAGCAGATGTCCAAGCTTCTTTTTCAACTGGGTTTAATTCGGAAATGAAAATTTCGCTTTGAATGAGCTTTTTAACTTGTGGCCCATTTAAAACACCTTAAAAATATTAGAAAAATTTAATTTTAACGATAGAAAGGCATCAGATGATTTGTTTAGTGCTTTAATAAAATTTGACGCTATCCCAAGTTTTATGTGAAGAGGCGGAAGAATTATGTTTTCTGGGCGCACCAATGGTAAATTAACCACACTGTCAATCCCCGGTCTATATTCTGATCGTAATTCCCATACATGATTCGTATAATGCAAATCCCTTTTACGCCCCAATTACAGAGAAAATATTGGTGTCTTGAAAACCCCCCTTTTATGCCGAGTAGCAGACCAACAACTTTTAAATCGCATAAATCACATAATTTCCAGTTGTATTGGTCGTCTTAATAGCTTCCAATATGAGTTTTAAAATGTCACGATCTTCTTTGATTTCGGTGCCATACGCAATTGGAACAGAGGGATGTTGATTACCAATATATTATTATTATATTATATACCATATATGCAGAAGTACGGCTTTTAGACTTTGAACAGATGAGTCAATAAACAAACGCCCATTTCCTCAAATAAGGCATCGATGTCATAACAATAACCAAATTTTTTGTCTCGTCATCATTTAATGTAAAATATTTGTCCAAATGAATATATTCGTCTCGATTACGGATTACAGTGATTTTAAAGTCTGGCGCAACTAAATTCAATTGTTTTAATCGCGACCCTAGGATTTTTTGGACAACTTGCAGTCCCGTATGAGATCATGAAAATCCTTCTGTGTTACACAATGTGGATCATTAATTTTACTCATATCACTAGTGTTGGGACTAAATCCTAGTGACTGTTAATGGTGAAGTATCAGCAGATTGAAATGGGGTGTAAGACCATCATGTTCACACAGTTTTGCAAAATCATCCAGCATGGAAAACTGCCGGGATTACAGATTCAACTTCAACGTAAGCGATTTTTTCGCGGTGTTCATATTTATAACCAAAGCTCCTTGCTTCGTTCAGACAAAATAGGTAGGTATTTGATATTTACTAGCGGGTTGTTTGTCATTATTTTTACATAATGACCTATAGCAGTATGTGCAATGCACATTGTGCATACCACTTCGGGAGCGTACTATAAGTACGGAACGTAATTGGTTTTAAACTATCGCTAAAACGAAAGAACTATGGTTATGGTTATATTACGAACATCTTTCACAGTAACATATAAACCACAAACATAACAAAATTTATTGCGATTAAGACACTCCATTTTAATTCTCAACGAACAAAACTATAAAAGGTGCAGTTTAATAAAAATCGTACATTTATATGCATATCATTTAGATTAACAAACCCACAGTGTATATACAAAAAAACAAAATTGTTTTTAAGTTTAAACGTTGTTTTTAACCAAGAATATATAAATACACAAAGTAATAGTTATCATACGAAGTTTTAAGATTTATTTTTTAATTCTTTCTTTAATCTTCTGAATTACCAATTTTACATACTCCCTGTACAGGGAGTATGTAAAATTGTAAAATTGTAAAATTGTACATTATATAACATTCTTCCTAATTTTTAATACCTTTTCAATAATATGGTTCGCAGCAAAATTGGTATATTTTTGTTTAGAAACAAAACATATTAAATGCTCGTGATTAAAAACTTTAACGTGGAAAAAAAATTTTTTTTTACGTGTACAAAAAAATCGCCGATACACGGGTCTTTTTTTTATCGTCTTCTATCCGATTTTTCAAGTTTCATCGATGCGGGCAATTTTGTGTTGTACGGTGTTATAAGTCATATTTGACTAATTGTCATAGGGAAGAAGCAGTCACTAACAATTAGTCAAATTATACTGAATGAAATAGCCAAATTAGTAAATTTAAATTTAAAAAAGTTTTGACCCAGCCGGGGATTGAACTCAGGGGAGTCACTTGTCAAGCTGCTGTCATAACCTATGTGGCTATCAGTCACTCTTATAAAAATCAATTTCATTTGTCAATAAATATTGTTCATAATATTTTAAAGTTGAATATATTATTTGTGTTTCTGTTTTGAGCTAAACTTTGTGCATCTTTGTTTGTTCTTATGGGCCATTAAACCATGGAGCCTATGAGTTTAATTCAAATAATAGTTCGTTGTTGGCCGCAAACGATTAAAGAAATTTGTTACTTTTAACTCTCAGAAATAGTCAAAGTGGGTGACTAATCTTAAATTAGTCAAACTTTAACTATACGTAGTAAAAAATAACTATTTAAAAGTGAAAACGACTATTTTATTAGTAAAAAGTGCTGGTACTAATTTAAATAGTAGAATTTTGACTATTTCATTTTAAGAGAGTGTGGAGTTATATATTAATGCCCGCCTGCTGCCATCTAGTGTATAATTGTTGGAGCTCCAAGGTTTGCTCCAAGGTCGAAAACCGTTACAGCCTTTCGCATTGACGCAATTAAATTCTGTACAATATTATTGTTTTCATATGATCGGGAGTAAGTTGCAGGGTAAATACAACATTTTGTTAACTTCGTTTCGGGTTTCGGTAAATCGGTGTTACGGACGTTTGAAGTTGTATTTGTTTGGTGTAAACATTGCAATACAATTAAACATCGCGTATCGAAAAAATGTGGAATTTCACAATAAACAAATACGACAATCGTTACATTTTAAACATTATAATTAATTGTAGGTGTTTGCGGTGCTTTTAAACTCGCATTAAAAGGACATGATTTTAATAAAAAGGTGATCGAAAAGTTTGCTGCTGCAAAAGATGGTTGAATGGATTTCTTCTTTAAATAATGATGGTAAGCTTAATTTTGTATTAACAGACGCAATTAATATCATATTTTTAATTTCAATTTTAAATTTGTATAATTTAAATTTTTGCTGTGTACATCTTTCCTAATATCTACAGTGTAGATTCTACACACCAGATTTTTTAAGTCACGAGGCGCCACAACCAATTAAACACAATCCGAAGGCAACAAGAAACAAATTTTTAACTGTGATTGTGTTGATTTTGTTTAATTTTTTCTAAGGGATAATTTTTTTTTTACTTTTTTTGAGCACCTTTATTGTTTATGAACAGTCAACTTAAACATGTGTTTTTTATCCACTAATCAAAATTTAAACTTTTATTACAATTTTATACCATAATGACTAGGGATGGGATTTTAGTTATTTTACCTTTTTTTTAACCGATGTAACTATTTGAAAACCAATAATGCCAAAATGTGTTTTAAAAGATTTTCTTTTATATGAACATAACTTGTTTTCACTTTTTTTACCTTTTTTGGATGTTTTTGCTTTTAACTACCTTTTTTATACTTTTGTTACCTATTTTTTTTAACTTTTTTTCACCTTTTTTACCTTTTTTGGAGGTTTTTGCTTTAAACTACCTTTTTATACTTTTGTTACATATTTTTTAATTTGTCAGTTTATTTTCCCATATTTGTTACCTATTTTTACGTATTTTTACTTATTTTATTTTTTTTGTTCTTTTTAAAATTTGCGCCAATATTTTATCCAGGGCGTGCAACTCAACGGTATAGAATTTTTTCTTATGGTTACATACTGTAACAGTAACTTTCTTTACAGTTACCTTCTTTGTAGTTACTCACTACTAGTGAGCTTATGTTCTGACATAGAACTTCTGTGTAGTGAGTGTCACTCAGTAAAACACAGTTTATTTCATAGAAATAGTTTATTGTGGGTATGTTCTGTGTTTGGGTATGCGGCTAAACAAAATTATAAACGAAACTTAAACTTTTAATGATTTTTTTTTACCTAAAATGCTGTTTTTTTAACCTAAAATGCTTTTTTTAGTACCTTTTTAGTTACCTATTTTTCAGTTTTTAGTACCTAAATATCCCATCCCTAATAATGACATACCAAATTAAATTATTTATCCCATATAAAAGGATCGTTATAGAGCATATATTCCAAAGAAATATATAATTTTTTAACTGCATATATTTATATTAATTATTTAATTTTAAACATAAAAATTTATAATAAAATGTATTACTTACTTAGTTATAGCAACAGCAATATCATAAACTGGTAATCTTCTTTCTCTAAATAAATATTTACCCATATCTGTTAATGCCGCAGCTGAATCTATAGCATCCCTTCCAACTCTGTTTCTTTCTAAATATGGTGTGGCATCTCTCCCCTGCAAATTAATTATAAATATTTAATTATACTTATATTATAATTCGAGATTTTCTGAATAACTAGTAGTTTGGAGCTATATTACAATTAATTAATTAAACTAATTTAATTTAATTTTGTAATAGATGACGCTGTAATAAAAAATCAATTTTGTTCGATTTTTCTTCTGTATACGATTCTCCAATAGTTTTTGGTTTTATTTTTTAAATTTATTTATTTTTTAAAATTTAATTAAAGTAGGTGCTCAAAATGGTGGTCTTCGACTTCAATGCATTTATATTAATGGCAGTGGCTATTTACACGTCCGACGTGTAAATTATTATTTGTACGTCGGACGTGAAAAATCCTATTTCCACGTCTGAGGCGGAAGTTGCCCTGCGTTTTGTTCATTTGTTTTAAGTGCGTGGGTTGTTTTGTGCTTCATTTACTTTTTAATGTAACTGTGCAATCTTGAGTGCAATTTAATCATAATTAGTTTTTTAACACCATGTGAGTAAACATAATTGTCGAGATTATCGTTTTAAACCCAATTAAATAATTTCAGGCAAAATTAAGAGGTTAGGTTTTCTTCGAAGATAAATTTATGTTAACATGAAAATTGGAGATCAGTTTTCTTCCTTGTTGAATTTAGAACAGGCCATAAAAAAATTTGAAACAACAACTTTTACAAACTTAACTAAAAGTAGAACAAGAACTATTGAGGGTGCTAGAAAAAAGGCCTAAAACGTTTCATTGATAATTCTTTAGAATATATTGAAATTGATTACTCCTGCATAAAATCGGGCAATTATACAACAACAAAAGGAGCTCGCCCTAAACAGAGGTAAATAGTGACACAAATACTACCTACAATGCCGTCATAGTAAAAAATGCAGTGTCTGCGCTATTAAGGTAGTTGTCGCGTAAAACTCATTGTCGATAGAATTGGCTAATTTTTTGATAAAATATTCAAAATATACATATCTAACTTATATCAAAGTTTTACAATGATTTACCGTCTAGTTTTGGTAAAAATCGCTCTTAAAAATTGTACAATTGACGTTACCTACATGTATGTTAATCTTATAATTTTGAGAGCATTTTTTTAAACTAAACGGTAAATAAATTTTTGTTTTTATTTAAAACATAAATAAGACATTATCGATTTGAAATTAAGATGAAATGTAGACCTTATTAATGGCAATAAATCCACGTATTTTTTTTTAGATTTTAACATACAGGGGGCGCGGGGGACAATTTAATTTAAAGAAGCAACGTTGTATTATAATTTTGAGTATATCACATTAAAGAACTGATAATTAACTATTATTTGATATATAAACTTCTAAATGCAAATTATGTTTCTACGAGAGACACCATTTTTAAGTAAGGCCTTCAAAGAGCGTAATACTAACGTGTTTTACAAATTATAAATTCTTTTATCTAGTTTTATAAGATAATGTATTATATGTTACATACAATATATTATATACCATACAATTCTTACATATTTATTTTAAAAAATCGCCATAGATGGAGCTAAAATTAGTTTTATTTATAAATTAAATTTTTTTAAGTTTACTAATTTTGATCATAGTAGGCATCACAGACTTTTCTCTATGGTAACCTACCATTGGAAGCATGATGATAATTTAACAGTTCAGTTTATAAGTTGCAAATGACTGATTGCTTTTCAATTTATAAGTGTACTATAAACTTAAAATATTAATTTATTTAAAATGAATAAACTAAATAATAATAATTATTATAGACAGTGTCAGCAAGTTATAAATTATAACCTACTTTAATTTTATTTTTTGCTCCACAACCAAGCTTATTTTTTACTCGATAAGCAAGCTTCAATTTTAATTTCTAACTGAGGAAAGTAATGTTTACCCAATAAATAAATTGGAATAAAGACTTTTTATGTTGCAATCGGCTATTTACATATATCTATATTTTTTATTCAGTTGTTTTTCGATTTTTTGTAATTAATTATTTTGCATTTTTTTATATTTAATTTAATGCTATACAGGGTGTTTCTGGAGAAACGCAAACGATATGGATTCGAAATTTTAATAGCATATACAATTTGATTTAGACTATACTGCCCAACTATGGAGAAAGGCAGTAACTGTTAAACAAAAAATCTGTGGAAAATTGGCATAAACTAAATTTTTATAAAAAGCAGTAGGTAGATATTTAATTGACCATATGCAAGGAATGCGGTCGATGTTGCCAATGGTAAAAAAATATAATTCCCTATTGGGAACATTCAATTATATTACGTTGGCTACACTGAAATTTTGAATTTCCCGCACAAACTGACATACATTCTAGTAGTTTCCAGAGATAAAGAAGGTAGTTCCAATGTTGTATAATAAATGAAGGTGCGAATTTCAAATGTGGGAATTATTATTATTTATTATTATTAAAAAAAAAGATGGAAATTAATTTAGTTTGTGCGGGAAATTCAAATTTTCAATGTAGCCAACGTAATATAATTGAATGTTCCCAATAGGGAATTTTATTTTTTTACCATTGACAACATCGACCGCATTCCTTGCATATGGTCAATTGATTTATTTAAATTATAAGATAGTTTACTGCATTTCTTAGTTGAATTAAGGTACAAAATGTCCATAGCTTTATCATAGCACAAGAAAACGCATTATGAATTTTTTTGTAGTTACTGCCTTTCAATAGTAGGGCAGTATACATAAAGTCAAAAGTTTTCCAGATATTATTTTTTTTTCGTTAAAATGCACGTTAATCAAAAATAGCCTCTAATTTGTTTGTTATTATGTTTGTTGACATGGGGTTGGAATTTTTAAAATATTAAAACATTGTTTAGTTTTTTAAAGGTTTTTCAACAAATACCTTGAGAACAACCAATTTAAATTAGGCAACCTTCAAACAATAATAACGCTTTTATTATAAATGTAAAACCCTGTATGTTTTAACATAATCAAACATTAAAGAATCTTTCGATTGGTATTATAATAACTCTTTCCTAAAGTTAAAATTTCAGAGACATTTAACAATTTCTAATATTTTCAATACTATTTTGTATCACAAACCTCCACGGTTACCACCAAATCTGTGATTGTTTAAAATTAATTAAAATATTTGATTGAAAAATTAATAACTTAACAAATATTGACTTTAGGTATAGGATATGGTATAGCCATTTTACTCAGAATTTTATGTAGAATAAAATAATGTGAAAATATATGAGGTATTCCGGTAAAACAGGAAGTATTATTTTGTTCAAAATAATTTAGGAAAAGAGTCTAAAGCGAATAATTTAAACTATTAAAATTTTAAATCGATGTCTTTCGCGATTCCCTAGAAACTTCCAACGGACTAAGTACCTACGTGAAACACCCTGTATATTAAACGTCATTTATGTGTTATGCTATACTTAATTATTAATAAAAGATACAACAATATTTGAACAAAAATGACAAAATGTACTAAACTAAGCATTTATGAATACTGCAAATTCAAAACTGATCCTGGCCCCAGAAACATCATTTGCATATAAAAGTTAATATATAATATAGTCAAATATCAATACTACTAACGTGTTATACTCAAATTTAGAAAAGAAAGTTGCTTTTTCGATTATTTACCCCTTAAAAATTGTTAAATTTTAAACTAAAATATCACCAGCGCCCCCTGTACGTTATAATCTAAACAATTTTCATGGATTAATTGTCAGTTGTCTACATTTTGTCCAAATTTCAAATCGATACGTTTTGAAATAAAAAAGTTATTTAACAAAAATGAAATTTCTTCATTTTTAACACAGCGAAGAAAAAAATAAAAACAAAGTTGTCAATGGACGAGATTTTTTTTTTAAAGTACTATGTAGAAATAAGGTTAAAAAAAGTTTCAATCGATTTCTTGAACCCTTGCAAATCGACCGTTCGAACCTTTCTCGAAACCGTAGTTAAAAGCAACATAAAAAAACTCGCATGGTTCTGCAATTTTTGTTTGGAAAAACAATCTCATAGTTAGGTTTCATTTATTTGTTAATACCTGTTTTAAATGTCATGCCTGTATTAAAAAAGTGCTTAAATAAAAAGTTCTCTTAAAAAAGACTCCATGCAATGAAAAAACCTTATAAGTAAGTTCGGGGAAATTATGTTTTGAAAAACTCCTTCTCAGTAAAATTCTTGTAGGACATTATAGTTTGAACTTTATTCCACTATTTTTTAAATAATTGGGCTAAACATTTTACATTATTCAAATCCTCAGAAGTGTGTTTTATCATGTGAGTGAAAAACGCTTTAGTTTTGCTTTTTCCATTAATCTCTGCAATAAGAAATACGAAATAAACATCCACCTGTCATCGCATCAATGAACATTATTTCTGAACAAAATTTAAAGTCTTTGTTTCCTCATCTTAATAAAAATTGCTTTTAATATTCCTTCTTAACTTTTAATAAACTTAATGGTAATGGTATGGTAATACTGTTGAGTGAGGTGTCACTCAACGGTAATACATTCTTTGTTCCTATACTTATGCTTTAGGATATAAGCTGATCACATGATTATGCTTAGATTATTCCTTATAAAAAATTCACTTCAACTTTCATAAAAAAGGACATTTCTTTCGATTTTAACTAAAAGTAAAGAAATTTTATTAGAAACATTATATGTAGATAGTATGTTGATAAGTCCCTACTAGGGCGACCTCCTTTTGTTTTATAATTTCCCGATTTTATGTATATATAATATATATATTAGGGTGCTTCAAAAAATAAAATTTAATTTTTTTTTTCGCTCTTACCCTCTGAAATGTTTCTATTTAATATAAAAAAAATCCTCACCAAATATGGGCGTTCCAGCTCAACTCTAAGAGGTCGCTGTTTTTATTTTAGTTTCCCATTTAACATGAGAAAAAATAATTTTATTTTTGGAATTTTATACCTCTGTATTAAAGTAACTTATGGCAATGATCATTGCAGTTTATTATATAAAATATAACGCTCTACAAAAAAGGTCTCTTATTAT